AGGGTGGGGTGGGAACCAGGTGGAGGGGAGCTATGGGGGAAAAAAGAGGAACAACTGTAATAATCTGAACAATAAAGATTTAATTTTTTAAAAAAAGAAAATCAACTATCTATAAAAATTATTTTCCCAGCTGAGCATTTAGAATACCACCTATATGCTAAGCACTGTGCCAGGAGCAGGACTTCATCATCTAGTGCAGTGGTTCTCAACCTTGGCTGCACATTAGAATCACCTGGGAATCTTTTTAAAATCCTGATTTCTGGGCCTCATCCTCCGGAATCAGGATTTTAAAAAGATTCCCAGGTGATTCTAATGTGCAGCCAAGGTTGAGAACCACTGATCTAGTGGAAAAGAAAGACATATAAAGAGATAGTTTCACCATCACGTGAGAGAAGTCCAGACAGAAATGAAGAGGGTCGTTTGCAAAGAAGAGGCACCTACTTCCCAGAGGAGCGGAGCCACAGCTAAGATCTGGGAAGAACACTGACAGGCAGGCTGGCCTCCCCACATACAAACTGCCCCCTTCTCAACAACTGCTTGAGGAAGCACGGTCTTAGCTGTTCACAGGCTTGAATGTGCACAATCTGTGGTGCTTCTTAAAATGTAGAGCTCCAGGTCCCATAACTGACTTACTGAATTAAAATCTCTGGGAGAGAGGCGTAAGAACAAGTTTCCCAAAAAATTCTAATGCAGGTGTTACTTGATCCATTATTTTTAGGAAAAAAACTAAAACTTTCGATTTGGTTAGAGGTAGAACAGAAACTAAAGTTTTCTGGAACTTTACTGTGACCATGGCCAACATATTCTTTAACATCTCTGAGCCTTTATCATCTCTAAAATGGAAATACTGTCCATTTTACAGTGTTGTAAGGTTTACAGACATTATTTTTAAAAGCTGTATATGCTTAGCCAGCACTGCTCAGTGGTTAAACCAGGAAGTCACGGTTTGATTCCGGTCAGGACATATGCCCTGGTTTCGGGCTCTATCCCCAGTGTGGGGCATGCAGGAGGCAGCCAATCAATGATTCTCTCTCATCACTGATGTTTCTATCTCTCTTTCTCTCTCCCTTCCTTTCTGAAATCAATAGAAATATATTTTTAAAAAAATACAGTTGTATCAAAAGTGCTTAGAAGAGTACTTCAGAAACATACTTTTTTTAATAAAATGCTTCATATTCTATCTTTTGTCAACCTAATCATTTCAAGGATTTCATTTACTCTGACATGCTTAAAAGTGTACTGGGGAGAGGTCAATGGAGGAAAAAGGAGACATATATATAATACTTTAAACAATAAAGAATTTTTTTTAAAAAGTGTATTCTATATTGTTGCTTAATAGATTAGAGTCTGAGTACGGTAACTTTCTTGAGAGCAAGATTTTCTATGTCATCCAGATGTTTGTTTGTTTTTTCTTGATTTCAGAGAGGAAGGGAGAGGGAGAGAGAATCATTGATCAGCTGCCTCCTGCACCCCCCACATGCAACCTAGGCATGTGCCCTGACCGGGAATCAAACCTTGACCTCCTGCTTCATAGGTCAACGCTCAACCACCAAGCCATGCTGGCTGGGCCAGATGATTCTTAATATGGTTTACATTTGTTAAATAGACTAAACCATACCTGAAAATCATAAATGATGTGATGAACCGCATTCGCATCCAATAGATTAACATGTTCAAATTTTGGTCTTGCTCTTCTAAAACCACAGCCAACGGCATGCCAATTATTCTGATGAAATTCTTTGTACACAGCTCTGCCAAGAAGTCCAGTGGCACCAGTAATCAGAACACGCCTATTGGGGACATTAACTTCCTCCTAAAAGGTGAAGGGGAAGAAAAAGCATTTTCTTTGAAAATATTCTCTCAACAATATTAGTCAACATCATCATCCACTAAATACTTCAAGTCTGAATAGTTTGCTTCATGTCCCACATCTATAAGCCAAGTCTTAAGAACAAAGATCAGTCAACTGCATCCATAAGTACATCACTTAAGTTTTAATAATCTTACCCCCCCAAATAAAAACCTAAGATGATATGGCCAGTAATTAGCTAGTCAAAAAGATTGTGATTTCCTACGTTAATAAAAAAATCTTAATTTTATAATCAATGATGTCCAAATGAGCAATAAACAGCAACTTTAATTATGTTTTTCCGTTTATAAAATCCACAATTAGGTTTATGCTTATTTTATGGCCTGATTAAATATTTGGGCTTTATTCCACCAATGTTTACAAGTTAACATTTTTGGTTCCCAGTTTTTAACCCCAAGCTTTCTTTAAAATTTCACTGATATATCATATTTTGATAGGTCTGAGTGAGAGAAGTCACATTCCATAGGAATTTATGTGAAGGAAAAATAAATTTGATCCTTATGGCACTAATATCCTAAGTTTAACTAAACTGGTAAATGTTCCTGAATTAAAACTCTAAATGTACCTGCACAGACCAATTAAACTAGTAAACACAGATATAGAGGATAAGAGAAAAACAACAACATGAAAATATTCTCAACTGGTATGTGTTGCATTTGTGAAAAAGAAAAAATTCCTTACACATAAAAATTAAAAGGAACTACTATTTAGAAAATAATACGAAGATGGTAACAGCAAATTTCCTCCTAAAATCTTGAATAAAGTCAGCAACTTAAGTTTTATTAAATTTTATCATCCTGAAGACTTTTTATTTCAAAGTGTTGTTACAGGCAACTAACTCTGAGATGTCAAAACTTTAAAGATGCGTACACCAACCAAAGACCTTTCATTAGCCCTTAGTTTGGCTGATTAACTCAGCAGACTCTACATTTAAAAAAAAAAAAAGGCTACCCAAATCAGGTACTTCCATCATAGGAAAAATCTGAAATGAAAGGCTGACAGGGACAATGTAAAGGTAAATTCTAAAGGATATGATTTTTTTTCTTAGATCAACCAATTTCATAACTTTTTACAAGTGGAAGGAAAATTCATCTAGGTTTTCTGTTGTAAAACTTGGCTCGCAGCCAAATGATCTATGAAAATAAGGATTTCAGCCAGCAAAGTATTTTCTTTATGTTTTGGCAAGGAAACAGTTCTTCAAAGACTGAACATAAAGAGAAAACATGCCAAGTCTAGCAGAGATACAATAAATAACCGATTTACACAGGATAAGTACAATAAACATCCCTGGGGAAATACTGTTAAGAGAGCTCCGATGTGGTTCCTTCTGAGCTTCTCACTTTTTACTTCTGAAGCAAAGGAATAGATTTGGGAACTGCAATTTGAGAACTGTCATCTTGAACTTCAGGAAAGAGCAAGGCTTTTCTCAAAATAAATTTCCCTTATTCAAAAAATTGCCATCTATCTTTCTAGAAGCAACATCTTTTCCCCTTAAATAGAAAAATTAGCCCCACCAATGTGACTCAGTGACTGAGGTTTGATTCCTGGACAGGGCATATGTAAGGTTTGGGGCTCAATCCCTAGTAGGTGGAGTGCAGGAGGCAGCCAAGCAATGATTCTCTCCTCATTGATGTTTCTCTCCCTTCTTCTCAGAAATCAATAAAAATATTTTTTTTAAAAAAAGGAAAATTTGAAGTCAAAGAACAAGCATTATGCAATCCATAAAGTAAACAGTAAATTAAGATGTCTGCATACTCCACTGACTCTGAAGCATACTTTTCCCTCATTGCAACATCTCATGTCAATGAATAAAATAGAGATGCATCTTATGAATGTCAGTTTGGCTGCGCTGTCTGCATTTTAGTGCAGCTTAAAATAAGAGCCAGATGATTTTATAATCGAGAGCATCTTAGACTTGATGAAATGCAGCATTGTTACAAGAACAGAAAAGCTCTTTAGAGAATACACAACTTTAAAAAAGGATGGGAGATGCATGGAAAACTTATACCCTATACCCTGGGGCAATATGGTCATATGTCAATGCTTAAAATTTTTCTTTTTATTAAAAAAGCAGAGATCGGAAGTGCAAGCACTTCCTGAAACATAAATGATTCTGCACAAACTTATATTTGAAAACCATCAAGTGTTATATAAACCTACATCATACCTTTTGTTCATAACAACAGCCTTATTAGGCAGGGCAGATAGATTTCCAAAAGGAAGGACCTGAAGTCCAGAGATGTTTGTCCACAATAAAAGGAAAAGGTTAAGACTAGAACTTGGGTCTTCTTGCTTCTATGATCCAGGCAAATACATAATGAGTTTTGCCTCAATCCTTTAAACTTCTTTTTGCTTTCATGACAGTTAAATTTTAGCTGCTCTGCCAAGAACTGTGCCACTGAGAAGTTACTTCATCTCTATCTAACTCCTCATTGGTAAAACAAGGCATTTGGACAAGGTGACTAAGGCTCTTCCGGCTTTATAGTTCTACAATTCTGACATTTCCCCTATTACCCTTATCACAAAGGGGTCCACAGAGAGTGAATTTACTTATATTAAGTTTTACTCTTTTCATAGTCTCTAGAGACTCAATGAGCACCTTCTGTCACCACTATAGGGGTCAAGACAAGATTTCTCCATTTAGATTATAAGTTTATTTGGTGGGTGACAAAATATGTTTCACTCTGAAATTAAAAGATGCCAATCAAAAATAACTTATTTTTGAGTTTCTATATATAAACAGAACTCTACTAAAGCTTTTGAAAGCATACTGTTTTTCTTTTTTATTTTAAGAAGAAAATAAATATTCCTCTGAAAACTACTTTGGACTATTTGTTACTCTATAAATTTAATCCTGCAAAACACAGGAACATCCAAACACTCTGAGGGACTCAGAATGGAAGAATAAAACACTCTCTAGTTCCATCAAAACCACAATCAAGAGCTGGAAATATTTTGTGAGCCTAAAAATTCTGTATCAATTTTTATTACCTATAGGTAAATTATATCAAACATTACTTTGTTAGTTTGAACATATTTATTTCTCTTATTGTATAGAATCTTAGATGTACAGAATTCAGAAACATCAGATGCCCCATTTTCAGATACGAAAAAAAATTCTTGAAAAAGTAAACACATCATGTAACTAAACTAGAGGCCAGATGCACAAAATTCCCGCAACAGTAGGCGTTCCTTCCCCCGGCTGCCAGCACCAGCTTCCCTCTGACACCGGACCCGGGCTTCCCTGGCAGCCCAGGTTCATCTGGAAAGTCTTCTGGTCTAATTAGCATATTATGCTTTTATTATCATAGATGTGGAACTACCATTATTATGCTATCTAGTCAAATACCAAATTGTAAGGAAAGATAAATGGCTCCTTCAGAATAACCCCAAACAGTGATTTCTAACTTAACACACTGGAATTAAGCATGTCAGAGGAAAAGTAGGGTGAAAAATCACTGACAACCTAAAGAGGGATCTTCTTAAATGTTAGTGGTAAATACAACAATACTTTGCAATTTTCCAGAAATTCTTAAATTTAGCAGTTTCATAGTCATGTCTTTAATTGATCCCCACAAGATTCCCCCTCAAGGCAGGTCACCGAGGAGACATTCCGGGGCTTGAAGCGACTTTTTAGGACCCCGTGATACCGCGTTGACACTGGACTCGCTCCTGTCACCCTACTGTGCACCCCAGGCAGTCTTCACAGAAACCACCAATCTGCTTGGCTCACATCAACTGTAAGACCGTCCTTCCACAGATTTTTGTGTTATAGTGTTTTGTTTTGTTAATCCTCACCTGAGGATATTTTCCCATTGATTTAAAAAAAAAAAAAGACTAGAAGGGAGGGGGGGAGAGACAGAGAGAGAGAGAAACATGGATGTGAGACACAGGGATTGGTTGCCTCCCACAGGTCGGATCTAGCCTGCAACCGGGGTACCTGCCCTTGACCAGAATGGAACCCGGGACCCCCGGATGGGCAGGCCAAAGCTCTACCCACTGAGCCAAACCAGCTAGGGCAACTCTACACGTTTTGAGATCAGCAAGTATGCCCCAAGCTTTTGGATGTACCGCTTTTTATTGAAGGAAAACCAGTCCACATTCGTGAACGCGTACTGTGCAAAGTATACAGATATACACAAACAAAAACTAACACTAGGTAACATGCACCCGGCCCTGTTCGGGGTACACAGGGACAACATAGCAGTTTAAATAGCCCGCTTTTTTTTTTTTTTTCCCTAACTCTACCCCCTCCCAAGTCCCAAAGGTATATGAAAGCACGAACTATGCTACATTTCAGAGGAGTTAAAATTCTGCATCGCTCTCTAGAACTGCCATTTCCTCCATCCTTTCTTATATCCACAAGACATATTGGTCTGGGCATTTTACCAGCCTCAATCCCAGAGCTAGATAACATTCTGTAGACGGATGAGTGCTGGGAAGCCTGGGACCGAATACAGACACTGCAACAGCCTTCCTTTTACGCAACCTCCGTCGTAGTTTAAAGCCCCAAGCACCAGTCACAATGCACTTAAAGAACACGGACCAAGGGCATTCCCGCTAAGCCTCGATTTTCTCATCCGTAAAATGGAGCCAAATCAATCTCCTAGTTATGAAGATGGCAACGCCTAACACAGTGTCCTGTGTAAACTAAGAGTTCAAGTTATCACCTCCAATACCGTTATTCCGGAAAAGCCACCTTTCCCCTTCTTCCTAAGAGGCACACGCGGGTAAGACCGAGGGGGAGGAACAAAGGATCCAAAAAAAAAATGTTTTTTAAGAAAGGTAGAATCAAAACCAAGACAGCTCAGAAAACCCCTCTTCATTCCAGGGAGGGAAGAGGAGACACCAAAAGGAACCCATTTCCTCAGTTCCGGCCGCAGAGGCTGAGAGAGTAAACAGGGACGGGCGTGCACCGAGGTAAACAAACCCCAGGGCGCCGCCCCGGGCTCCCGGG